TTTAATATATAAGATATATCAAATAAATATTTCATTAATCGCATCCTACTTTCTAAAACCTTACCACTAAAGGTGTGAATTTAGACATTTTAGACCTTGGGCAATTTTGTGCAAAACTTTGTTGAATTATGATAGTATCGAATGCGATAAATTTTATATGTTTTTTATACAGTTGCTGAAAGATGAAATTTAAATTAAGTCAGAATGTTATTTCGTAGAAAATCATTGCTGATAAGATGCCCAATAATATGTAAAATATTAAGAACTTACAAACTAATAGGATTTAGGCAATAATTATTTAAAATGGAGTAACTGCAAGACAAAAAGGCCGGAGTCTCCGTAACAGTCAAATTCGTGTGCATTTGGATAAGACGTGAAGCGAATGTGAAGTCCATTTCTTTGCGTTTTTTTAGGCGACGATCACTTGTCAAAGATTTAATGAGGCTGTAGAGCAAAATTTCGGCAATAAATTTTCGCCGACGATGTCCATGAAATTAAATGTTCGGTTCCACTGTGCGGCGCGGTGTGAACAGCGTTAACTACGGGCTGCTTTTTATTAAGAGCTGCAGCGTTCTCGGTGTGTACTCGCGACTTAAGGCAAACACGAGGTATACCAGCAAGGTCACATGGTGGACTTCGTCCAGGACGAGACGAGGGAACGTACATAGAAGGGAGACGTCACTGACCGTGGACGCATGCGAGACTCGCGACAATTTTGTCCACGACACGCCGGTAAGTCCATGCATCGGCAGATGCAGGGGAAGAATGCGGACTCGGTGAACTTTGATTCGAGGAAGGCACACCTCTTACCGCTTCTTAATCAACTTTTCTTCTGCGAGAACGGCTAGGGCGCAGGATCAATCACGGTCGAGTAATTGCACAAAGCTTATCTCGCTCTCGGGGAAACGTACCAGCGGCAAAGGAGGCACCGGGACACCTGAGAATCCTGTTTCGAATGAAGCTTTTAATATACAGCCAACCACCGTACGGCACGGCATTCCTCAGACACGATTTCACAGCAATAGGGTTATTCAGAATTGGGGAGGTCCTATCACAGAGTTTTTTTACGAAAGGAACTCCGGGGCCGAGGGAGAGTTTCGCAGAACTCTGCGCCATTTTATTTTACAAAGGTTTCTCTATAAAAAGTCGAGCAGCGAAGATGACGGACTTCTCGAAGATAGCGGAGTATACATAGAAATGAAGATGCTGAGGACAGCAGCTCGAGATGGATATTTTCTGATAATAAAATTGCTCCACTTTATGGAAGAATGACGATGAGAGTGCTTGCCATCTACTGTCTAAAGTTAATGTATTACTTGTTGCAACAGTGTGTTGTTTTTTCAAATAAACAGGTTTCTTATAATTAGATCGTAGGTCTTTCTGCAAAATAAACATTGTCTGCATTGATTGCAAGGAGTGGGTAATGCACAGAAATTGATTTCTTCTTTTATTGATATTAAAACAAGTTTCCAAGAGTATAACACTAATCTTCTAAACCTTTGACTGTTGTATATTTGATGTATCCATTTTTGTCATAAATAAATAAAAAACCGCGGTCTTTTTATAATTATGAAAATATAATAGGTTCTTTTAAACTTGAGTTTATTGTTTTACAAGTTCAGAATTTTCTGTAATAAAATAATAATTTCGTAACAATATAATAGATTCATTCAAACTCGTATTTATTGTTTTACAAGTTTTTAAATTTCTGTAATAAAATAATAATTTTGTAATAATAAAATTCTCCTAATTATGTAAAATGTATTTTGAGCACAAACGTATCTAATGTTGCATGTTAAAACAAATGTCAAGTGATTCCTTTATCAATTATGTAACAACAGAATTATTCAGATTATTCTAACAATTTATGTATTATTCCGTGAACGAGAAAAAATTAAAAATCAATAATGCATATGCAGTATGCGACTTAATCAGTAGATGCGGCAAATAATGACAAGACATATCGTCTTACAGTTGTACTTATACTTCACTAAGTACATCGATAAGTACATATTGTTTATGTACTTATTGTATTTACTTTTCAATGAATTATATCAAATAAAGCTTGCAATAACAATTGACACCATAATTAAAAATAATTTGCTTTTAAGTCAAATTGTTGCAAATAGTGCTATGGTATCAACAGCATGCATACACGGTCCAAATTCTCTTTGTAACGAACTTTTAAAACATAAAACTCTACGTTACGTGTTCAGTAGAAAGTCTAGAGCGCGAAAAGTAAAAGTGAAAAAGTATTGTAATTGGAATCTATAGAACCCGTTTTTGTAACTGCATTCGATACGTCGCAATAATGTGATACATGTGTTCGGTGTAGATGTCGTCGGAGATGAGTCTATCTCTGAGCGAAGTTATCTGTGGTAGAACGGCTTTTAAAACTGGTGGGGAATGTTGATTCTTTATTGGTCGAAGGGCGTTGCTTAATTACCATAGTGGAAATGGTACACGGGGTGATCGGGGAGAGAGAGAGAGAGAGAGAGAGAGAGAGAGAGAGAGAGAGAGAGAGAGAGAGAGAGAGAGAGAGAGAGAGTGAGAGTGAGAGAGAGAGAGAGAGGAAGAGAGAGAGAAAGAGAGCAACCTTATAGGCAAACAGAGCGTGTTAAGAAAATAGAGGTATTACTGCAGATGTTGAAAATAACATGGCACTCGAACCGATGGAACACCCTCGAGTTATTAACACTTTGACTGCACGTCACCCATATCGGAGTGGCAGAATTATTTGCCTAGATTTGAAAATTAATAATTTTTTGTCGAACTATTATATCTTCCTAATTTTACTAGGGTCTACAAAATACAAAAGGATGTTGTCAAAGTAATTGATTTTTTATGCATTTATGAAAAAAATGGATACATCAAATAGACAACAGTCAAAGAGAGAGGTTTAGAAGATTAGTGTTACACTCTTGGCAACTTGTTAAAATCAATAGAAGAAGAAATCAATTTCTGTGCAATATTCTCTCCTTGCAATCAATGCAGACAATGTTTATTTTGCAGAAAAACCCACGATCTAATTACAAGAAACCTGTTTGTTTAAAAAAAACAACCTACTATTGCAGTAAATAATACATTAATGTTAGACAGCAGATTGATGTCATAGAACTTAACTTTTCAATTTTAATCTGGTGAAGTAAAATACTTTAATATTATACAATTTTCAGGTCGCTGGCGTGACAACGAAAGTGTCAATTCTTCGCAGAGAACGTTTGAAAATTTTAAGAATATTTTTCTTAAACAACTAGATCACGCATCAGAGAGTTAAATTAAATAATGGAGGAAATGTACAATGTATTTTGATAATTTGTTACGCATGTAATCGAATTACATGCTTACAATTTCTGGGATAAGAGGTCAACATTCGTCCCGAAAAGATAAAGTTTCTTGCAATCATGACAAATAAAATTGGAAATGTTTACTCTTTGCAGTCAAAGTTCAAAATGTGCTCAGAATGCTATATTTACTGTTGAAAACAATATAAAATTACAAACGTGTAGAAAGTGATACTTCATTTAACTAAAATATATCTAGTTTGACACTCAAACGGTGCACCTTAAGAATGCATAGAATGATTGATGATTTTATTTTTTTAAAGTACTCCTCGTGGACACGTTTTTCTATAAACCTTAATGAAACACACACAAATTTTAAATGAATGTTCAGAAACTAGATAGTCAAATAACAAGATTTATACTCACGATCACAGTCCAAATGGATCCGAGCCACGAAGCACCGTCTGATTGTTAATAACATCCACGTATTTTTTAGGTATTAATTGATTGAACGCGTGTCCCTTGTGAGGGGGGGGGGAGATATAATTATAAGTAATAAAAGACAAACGCTGTAAAATAATTTGTCAACAAAGAGTTAATGTACCATCCATTATTTAGATCAATTTAGGATGTCAACGTACGAATGATCGATGGTTCTCACTACACGTTATAAAATTTAACTCACAGATGAAGTCCTTTAACTTGATCACCTGAAATATTTTATTTAATTATCTATTATTTCTTTAGTTACCTATTACAGAAATCGAATATCAAAATTTGAATATTGTATATTCTATGTGGATCACAAATTACTACTCTATCCAATAATCCTTCTATTAAGATCATTTTCTAACTTTCTAAATGGGTTACCCTACTTTTCAATTTACAGTTTGTAAGAATTGCACATTCTGAATAATTATAACGGCAAGTATTGTGATCTATGATAAGTAGTTATTGAGAAATCAACGAATCTGGTTTCGTTTGAAATCACACTGTATTTACGTTGTAGCAGAGAATCGGACTGTTCATCAATTCAAAGTTCACCGACACAGCTGCATTCATTAAGTCACTGGCTAATGTAATTTTAACGTTTAAATACACTTAAAGTTGATGGTCAAAGTGCCGTCCATTAGCGTTAGCACATAATTAGCTGTCTAACCGCGACTAAAATGCGCTGCCGCTAACATGTTATACTAAATCAATTAGTTGGTTACTGGAATAACTTCGAATGCCCAACAGTAACTGTGTTTACAACCATGAACCTGATGAATGCAACTAATCCTTACAAAAATCAATTATAAGGATGTAAATCGAATAAAATTCAAACGAAACTTATCGATTTCTCAGTACTTCGAAGGAATTTGGAATTGAAAAAAAGAAAAGTTGTTCAATACTCTTATAACTTTCTATTCAGTATTCGGTGCCCTCTTAAATTGAGAAATAAAAAGTGAGATACTTCATTTAATCCTTTGCAATTGACGCCATTTTAACTCGAAATCCAAAATAGTTTTTCTGACCAATAGTATTTCCCATTTGCATTTTATACATATAAAATTGAATTTTGTGACTCATGCAACAATTGCACTTTTAACAATTTTTGCGATATAAACAAATTTGATAACGTTAAAATTATTTTGAAATGTGATATAACCATTTTTAATGCCGCCTTAGAGTCGCCAGTCAAGTACAAATGGTTAAAGAACTGAATACATATATGAATCGCACGTTCTCACGATAGCAACGAAACTTTTGCATGAAACATACTTACTATTTTTTTTTTAATTTATGTTGTCTGTGCAACGTAAGGATAAATATAGCACGTTATCATACTTTAACATACTACAACATAACGTTTTCACGTTATCATACTTTTTGTTATTCATTTACAAGTTTGATATTAAACTTGTAGATGTTGTAATAATTATACTTCGGATCTTTATGCAAACTAAAAAAAAACTGTTTACAACAATGAGAAGAAACAGAGCTTCGTTAAAAATGTGTCCCTTCTCTTAATGATTTTAATTAATTGAAAGCGAGATAACAGTGTTCGTCAATTGTTCCAACGTTTTCACTGTTTCGTACTTTACCCAATGATTTTTGTTGTAAAAATACGCAGTCTAATAATAATCTTCCTTAAGTCACTTGTTGACAATATTTATCACTTTGGTTGATTATGAAGTTATTTTGAGCAGTTTTCTTGTGTCAATTTGGTCAAACCATCTATCGAATTCGTTTCAATCGAGGAGGACGTTTATTTTGAGAAGAGAATACAATTTTTGGTACTTTCTAACGATCCTCGCGTTGCCATTGTAGCGAGAGAACGCGATATATTATAAAATACTTTGATATGATTCATCGTTCATTATATTTTTAGTTTGTTCAGAAAAATCAATAATTCCACCCTTGAGCATCAGTAATGATGGTTGGTAATAGTCGAATCACACGAGTGATTTTTCGTTGGGCAATCCGAGAAAAAGGATAGTTCATTTATCAGTTAATATCCTCGTACAGTTCAGTATCTTCATTTTCAACATGTATGCTTAAATATTAAATTTTATTTCACTTAATAATTCTCCAATAGATATTAAAAAAAGTATGCGCTTTATTATTTATAATATGTAGCTTGCAATCATAAAATGATTGTATGTAAATGTCATAATACTTAAATGTACTCACAAACATGCAATAAAATATAATTTGAAGCATGCGACAAAATCCATTAGTTATGTAAAATAAAAAATATTCACTCTTTAATTAGATTTAATTATACTCTCTTCATGCGAATAAAAATGTTTTGTATTTCTATTTCTATTACTTTTAGCCAATGCTGTAAACTTAATATGCAGGGATCTATATTATCGACTGATATTTGTAGTTTGTTGTATTTCTTACTAGAAAGCACGATAATTTATAATAATTTCGAACTTTTAGGCAGACTTTGGATATGTTGGATATGTTAAAGACAATACATATTGATATTGTTAAATTCTTTAAATCCTTCTAATATTTTAAATGTTACTTATTTAATTTGATTGTAAATGTATAAAAGTTCGTAGTACATTTATAATGTATCTGAAAATAAGTTGCTTAAGTGGAGAAATTAGAATTATCAGTCATTAGTATTTGCACACCTTCCAAATGATAAACAGTGCCCTCAATTACATTTTCTAAATTATTTTCGTATTTCGCAATCTCTGATGTAACTCCATTTTCTTCGCAGATTATGAATACTTACATACATACTTTAGTAATGATACATAGAAAAATATTATTTACATAAATTTTTATCTTCATTGAAAACTAATGTATAAAATATTAAAATTAACCAACAGACAGTTTTATTAGTTTTTAATGAAAAATAATCTATGTATGTGTTGAAAAAAATTATTTCGTAACTAAGGGCACTTAAAATATCAAAACTGAAAAAATTACAAATGGAGTAAATAAGTGTAACAACATCATTAGAAAACATATTTTTACCGATTCCTATATTCCCTCTGATGCGATGTGTGAGTAGAGTCCAACAAATCCAATTTTAAATCTTAAAAGCTTCCGATTCGAAAGTTACTGTCGTTTAGAAAAAAACGCATATTCCTGAAACAAAAATAGTTTTATTAGTCCATCAAGAACGCATTCCTGCCGCATTGCATTAACTAGTGCAATCGAGTCATAGGATCAAGACGATAAGATTGACATCACAAATATTTACAGTCTACCTGCAAAGTCACTATTATGAAACTGTTACTCCCTCCTGTCCAATCCTTTGCTAGTTGCCATTTTTTTGTCGGTTTCGTCTGCAATGAAACAACTAAAAATCTAACGCAATGTAAAACTGAATCATACTTCAAGCTTCAAATTGGTATTTCTCGATACCATTCGTGAAGTAGGATCAGATAACATTATTTCATTTCTTAACAATTTCTATTATACTGACGTATGTTTTATAAGAAGCATTCATATGGAAAAATTCTCAATTTAACACCAATAGAGCAAATTAAATATTAATATAGCGAAGAAATCTGTATTGGTATAAAAAAGTAGCCAAAAATAATTATTTTATAGTCGAATTTTAAGTGATACTATCTGCAACCGGTTCTTGCCGGAAGGCATCTGAGATATAGCCAAATTATTATTATTTACTATTGCATTATTTATCAGTATTATTAATTAGACTCAAAGGATGAGTTTATGCAATATAAAACAGCAAAGATATTAAAGGAATTCAAGAACATCAAAGTACTATTTTCAACTTGTTAAAATTATTGAAAAAAAGAAACATCGACGTAGCTATCGCATAATTATCCTTATACTTATCTAGTCATAATTGTCCACTCCACCACATTGCAATTCTAATCTAGGAACAGGATAAATATCTATTACGACTATAAACATTCCAGATCATTTTCGTCATTCCAATCTTTCTGTACATTACTGTTTGCTGTACTTTCCACCATTGACTATTCAAATATTATAACGTTTTATCCTCGTGAAGTGACGTCTTAAACCCAAATCCGGAAATTATTGTTCTGTTGATAAATTTTAAATTAAACTGTTTACAACCTTTTATTAAAAATACGTCTGAAAAATAGCCATAATTAGACTGCGTATTTTACTCATATAATTTATAATAATATATATAAATATATTATAATATGTAATATATATAATATATAATATATATATAATATATGTATATAATATTTATAAATATACTTATACAATTTAAAAAAATCCAAAAATTAAG